AAAAAAAAAAAAAAAAAAAAAAAAAAAAAAAAAAAAAAAAAAAAAAAAAAAAAAAAAGAGGCCTTTCTAATCTTCTTCAAGTTAGCTCTTCTGCAGTCACTAACCATGGCCCCAAATTTAGAATGATACCCATGACTTTCAACTGGGTATCCATATCTTTATTGCCTGTCTTTCATTTGCATATTTCCATTGTCTAGAGACTTTATCCAGAGTTTTTTCCTCATACACTGCCTAGTTTCCAAGCTTGAACTCTAGTTTAATTATGATCCATGCTCAACTTTATGTTAGATTAGGAATTGAACATAAGCCAGCCACATTCTAGTTTCTCCCTAGCCAAATATCTGTTTTCGAGAACCTATGAGCATGTTTGCAGACCTTTCTTCGAACACGACCCTTGAGAAAAGAGAGATCAAAACCAGTCATAAGTTGAAACTTGAAAGTGAAAGTAGAGTGATATTGAGATAGCCAAATCTCAAACGAGTCTATATATCAGGATGATGTATGACTTTTATTTCAAGAACATCCATCTCATTGGCAGATTTGCCATTCGAACTGAAAAACTAAACATACACCATGCAGCATTTGCAATACCAACAACGTTTAAACAAAAAAATATTATTTTCTTCCAGCAGTAAAAACCAGAATCTAATATATATCAAGCCAAAAATCACATTTCTCCAATCAACGATCAGAGTCTCTGCCTATGCTGTAATTTCCATCTCTTCCATTGCTACAAGCTACATTAGTAAATGCGTTCATCAATGATGGGCTTTGGCTGCAGCTTTCGCATGAGACTTGGCTTTTGCCTGGCAAGTGCACAAGAATGCAACCAAAAGATACGTTCTTAGACAATTGCATTCATATTCTATACAGATAACTACTGAATAAGGGACATAAGACGGTCTATGATTCATGAGCATACGTGCCTAATTTTTTTCTTAATCAAAACAATTAACATGGCACGGTAGTTGGCGAAACCAGAAGAAGAAACTTTCATATCCAGTAAAAATGGCTCATAATGTTTCTAACTACACAACCATTGTTCTTAAATTTTTTTTTTCTTTCCAAATTTGGGTCGTGATTTCCAACAAGACTTCTTAAATTAGAAATGCCGACGGAAATAATGGCAGCCAAGAAACTGTTCTCCAAACGAAAACAAGTTAAAACCATCAAATAAACAGATTACATTACACTCAAGGTGATAACGTTGAATTCATCTGAATGAACGAGTGAAAGGGTCACAATAATATTCACAAACTTGCAATAAACATGGAATTGATTCATAGACAGAGCCACCAAACAATCAAACCCATGCACAACAAAAAATGACCATTTCAATGAATTTACAAACTGGAAAGGCTGGAAAAACAGTTGATTCCAATTTACCTTCAGAACCTTGAGCTTAATGCTTCCGTAAACCAAACCAAAGGTGAATGTTGATGCACGAGCTACCTGTGTAAATCAATACCCAAAAAGATTGGCACATAAAAAAAAAGTTTTAGAATCTAAAAATGAACCGATCCATTTGATTCCCAAGAAAGAACTTAAAAATGATAATGAAGAAATACAACGAAGAAAAAAAAAAAAAATTCAATCGCAGATATCCACTTGCACCAATTATCACACGATAGAGAATTCTAAACGGACAAATCTAAATGCATTCCAATATCGCCGAAACTTTCGAGAAAAAGGGTGGATACAGCACATGAGAGGGATCGAAGTAAAAACAAATCGGAAATACGAAATAACGTAGTTAAGCAGATGATTATAGGCAAAAAAAAAAAAGGCATATACCAGTGCGAGAGTGCTGGTGCCGGAGTAAGGGCCAGGAGGGAGCGCCATTAGATGTAAATGATGATATCAATCTCAACGCAGAAATGCTCGGATTCGTCTCCTTCGAGTGCCACGAGTTCCCCTTTCCCACCTGGATCATAAAAAGCCCTAATTTCCTCTGCAATTTCGGATCCACAGCACCTATCAAGGCTGACGTGGACCCGAATATCGAGCTCAAATTAGTGGAGGGTAATTTTGTTAAATAACCTCCCTACATGGGCTAAAAGTGTAATATATCATATCTATTATTCTAATATATATTAAATAAATCATCAATTTACATTTTATGCCTTAAAAAAGGGTACATTTGGCATTTACATCATAATCCTTATTATTTTTTTTAATCACAAAAAGTAATATTACAATTATATCCCCATTATGGTTACATCGGAACCTAATGAAAGAAAACGAAAGGAAAATAATATTTTTTTTTAGTTCAATCCCAATGTCTTTCCCTTGTTACAGTGCACGTAGAATCCAGAAGCCTTACGCGATGCCACGTCTTACATCGATTCCAGTTTACCGGTAATTGATAAAGAAATGAATCGAAGGAGGGAACAAGACGCTAAGGTGGATCAGTGAACGGTGCCTTTTCGTCAGGATCGTCTGGTCGCCGATGAAGAAGCCATCGCTCTCAAGTCCTTGATGGTGCACTCGACTTACAGCATTTCACTAGATTGAAGGATACTTGCGTCCACGGCATCAGAGCTAAGATTCGCATACTGATCAATTTCTTCCCGTCAGGTTTACTCCTCTGACTTATCTAATCCTACTTTCTTCCTTCCGTGTCTTTTATCATTTGTATCATATTACTTTTGCATTTCTTCTCGCTTTGAGTTTCTGAAATGTGTTGCTCGGTTGAAGTTAAATTCTCATAGTAAATTAGTTTTCTTCGTATGAGCTCTTTTTGTTGTTAATTGAATCGTGGCGATCGTTTCTTTCTTCAGGAGGAAGATGACTCAGATTCATCCGATTCCAAATCTTTCTCTCTTTGCTTTTCTAAATTTGGCTAGATATCTGAAGCGCGAGTACCTTTCTTGTTTTATTATTATTTTTTATTTTTCAATTCACGGCTGTAATGGCTGGTATCACGTTCTGTGGTATAATCACTCTGCTATTGGACCTTAAAGCATTCTAACACTAAGAGAAGTGGAAAAACCTTTATGTCATTGAAGGTAAAAAGGAAACGAAAACATTCTTTATCATTTTTTAGTGAAGATTAAAGAACTCTAGCTTGATCCATCTCTATCCGCTCTACTCTTTTGGATCGAATTGTGAAATGGACAGTCTGATTGTATCGAATTGGAGCATATATTTTTCTTTTTTTACTTTACTTTATTTCGATCTCCTATTTTTGTACTCTTTTTTATTTTTGACATCTCTATCCTTTTAATTCCTACGACTACTTAGCATTTGCGATGTTGGTTTATTAATTTGCATTTGTTATGTCTCTTAGTGATTGGCTGTAATTTCTTCTGATGTTAACATGAACATCTTGGAAAAAAATTGGTCTATTTTTTATATTTTTAATTAATTTATCTTCCTTGTCATGTTCAAAGTACAGTGTCTGATATTGTAACTTCTGATGATACATTTAGGATTTTTTAACTGTGAGTTCCAATGAAGTAACTGTAATAGCCAAACTAATTAAGTATATTTGTGAGTTGTAACAGTATTTTATATTCGTACGACTGCATTAGTATTCTTCTAGCAGTGACTTGACATCATGTGATTGGTTGTAGCAGAAATCCGTACTATCCACTACTAATCATTGGCTTTGTGTGGCAAAGATGCAACTTGACTACTTCCAATCTCGTACTTCATATCACATATTTATCGCGTTGACATGCTTGTCCCGTTTAGTGGATTTTTTAGTCTTTACTCTTCTCTTGATTCAGTTAATTTAGCATAGAGATGTTGCTTTTATCAAGGAAATGCCGCCCTTCAGAATTTTAGCATTTAACTCCCGAATTATTTTTCTTGGTTAACAACTGTTGTAGTTTTTCCAATATTTGCGGGTTTATTACTTTTCTTGATAGTGTTGTGGTGTATAAACATTTTTGTTCCTCTTCTTGTTGCAAAAGTCATAATGAGATTTTTATGAAGCTTGTTTTTCTGTAAGATGTTTATACTCATTGAATATCAAAATGAAATGGACATTGGTTTGCCTTCTTAATATTCTTCTCTTGGACTTCTTCAATATTTTGTGATTATTTACTTAAAATTTTGCATCCATGGCCTTAAATCATCCATATTTTATTCAATTTATCACTATCTAGAAAACATGTTTTTTGTTTCGTTATTGTCAATATTGTCTTACTTTAAATTGCTGCTACTTTATTTACAATCACTCATGAGATAGGTTTATGATTAAATTCTTGATGTATCATACAGAAAAATAAGCAGGTACACAGTTGACTCTTTCTATGTCAGGTACATACAGTGGTTAAATAGACAATAACTGGATATTATATTTGTTCAATCCCCAGTATTATTGATCAACAATGGGCGCATCAACCTCAACAGAGAAATGGGTTCCTGATGACCAAAAAGAGGCTGAAGCCCTAGCAGCTTCAACGGGAGCTCTTCCTCAGCTTCAGAGTGCATTCTCTAAACTGGCGGATCCCCAAACAAGTGCAATTCCTTTCGAATCCTTACAGGCAATATTCTAAACTAGTTTTAATAGCTATATTGGATGACCTGTAAAAGTAAAAGTATTGTATTGTAGATTTGATGGTTTGAGGATTCAATTATTCTATTGCGAAAGTTTTCTAAACATATTTTTTTTTCACAGAAATCTGCTTCTACCAACTAGAAAACTGTTTTCCACAAACAATTCCGACAAACTACCCCTAGATTTTAGACCCCCTAATCCCCTTCCTCCCTCTAGATCTTAGAACACGTCGAGCATGAACAATGGCCGCATTGGTTGAGACTTGATTTTTTTAATTATTTGTTCATTCTTCATGTTTGCAATTTTCTTTTAACGTGTAGTTTGGTTTCAGAAATGCTTCTTTTTAGGTTATAAAAACCGAACCCAAGAAACATCTGTGGTGCCTGAATCCTTTCCAGCCATCCTAGACTGTGTAGGCTCAACGATAGCTGAACTATTCTTCATTCCGGAGGAAGGAGGAGTTACCTGGGTTGAATTTCTCAAGGGCTACAACAAATGTTGTGGAAATATATCTGCATCTGTGTTGCTTAATACATTAATTAGGGTATTTGATGCTACAATGGTAAAGGCAGGACTCCCTTCAAAATTGGAGGTTACTTCCCTTGAGGATGAATTTAAGATCAGTGGTTTCCTTCTTTCCAGTGATATTCTTATGCTTCTTTGGATGTGTTGGACCATGTCTTGGGATTCTAGTACTTTCAAAGTCTTAGGTTCAAATTCAAATTTGTTTTTGCCGGATATCAATAATCTGGTGCTGTCATCGGTGTCATCATGTGCTGAAGCTGGCAATACTGTAAGCATTTGGGACTGCGATATCTTAGGTTTGGCAGTTGAAGTACCTGTTGGAAAGTTTCTTCCTTGGGCAATGAAAACTGTTCCTAGTCTTCCAGATGGATTTTCACATTTTGTACATGCAAGAATTCTCCAAGCTTCTACTCGAGAGGTAACTGATTCCTTTCTTAAGTTAACTTTGCATCTCTTTACAAATGGCTTTAAATCCATAGGCTGACACTTCAAGGCATTACATTTCTTTACTAGGTTGACATATGGTTTCTGATAAAGTGCCTTTAGAATCTATCTCTGCAGACTTATCTGCGGAGGTGCTCTGGTATTGAGCGAGTTGTAAACTTATTAATGAAGGAAGAGGCAATCAACTGTATTATATATCAATCAATCAGTAATAATACTAAAAAAGAGATCAATGTCCTTCAATATAGAGATGTGTTCGTCCACCGATTATTATTAATTGCATTAAAATTATTGAATATTTCTATGATGTCTTGTTTTACAATTTACAATTCAGCTCCTGGCTGATTAGCGCTACTTCTACCTTCTTGTTCTGGTGACTTTAAATTCAGTTTGTTATTGTTCTTTCATTGATATTAGCACATATTTGAGGTTATAATCTAGTATAGTCTCTCTTGAATGAACTTCGGTGTTATTCTCTATATTCCAGAGACCTGTTTTTAGTCCTTCCAAATTAGATGTGATGCTCATTCATAGGACATTATGATGTATTGTTCTTTAAAATTAGATGCGATTACTGTTCCTAGGTTATATATTATTACTTATTAGCACATGAATTTAGGCTAATGTTTCATGCTGAGTTGTAGAACGTAAATATTTTCCACTTCAAGATTGGTATTTTGAGAAAGGAAATTGTTAAATCTAGTGTCTTGAAAATAAATTGTTTTCTATGGAGGATACTAGTTGACCTTCCCTTTTCTGGTTGGTCAATGATAGGTCGGAGTGGAGTCATCAAATTCATTAGCTGCAGATATTGCCTCACCTGAGACATCAAGTTCCTATGTTCTCACCCGTGGAACAGCATGGGCAGTTTCCCTTTCACAAAGAGGTTGTATAAGGGAAGAGATATCAAAAATATGTTTTGTAACCAGTGGCGATGGAAATTATGAACACCTCCTTTATAGGTATGAATTCGTGTCTTCCCTGGATTGTTGTTTGTTGAAACGCTCTTTCCCATCGACAGTTTCAGAATGCATGTCAGATATGCATGATGCAATTTAAGGATGTATTTGTATTCTTCTATTTCTTGTAGGTCGTCACTTCATGGAAGAGGCTTAAATAGATTCTGGTCAAACATCGAAGGCTACCATGGTCCTTTGTTTGTGGTTGTTCATGCTGAATCTGTAGACACTCGTGACGATAGCACCAATGAATTGAAATGGACTGTTGGTGTACTGACATTCCAAGGTTTTGAAAATAAGGATCAGTTCTATGGAGGAGGAGGAAATATCTATGCTCTTAGCCCTGTTTTTCACGTCTATTCACCTACTGGTAGGATGATGTGGTGGTGAGGTTCTTCCAGGTTCTCTTGTTTGCCAAATATTTTTTGGACTTACTTCAAATAATTATTTACAGGGAAGGAAAAGAACTTTGTCTATAGCCACTTACATCCCTCTGCAAAGGTTTATGAGCCACATCCGAAGCCCGTTGGAATTGCATTTGGGGGAACTACTGGAAATGAAAGAATATTTATTGATGAAGACTTTGCCAGGGTTACTGTTCGCCATCACGTGGTCGACAAGACTTACCAGCCTGGTCCTCTCTTCCCGGATCAGGTAGGAATAATATTCTATCCTAAATGTGAATCATTGAGTGTGAGCCTGAGATATTCTTATTTGTGATGGTTTATCCTCAGATAGATAATTCAAAGATGAGAGAATATATCGACTAGATGTCTGTTCCTTAGTCAAGCATGCTACTTACCAATTTTCAATTATGATTCAAATAAAACCCAGGGGTTCCTGCCTGTTGAAGCCTCCATTTTAGAAGTGGAAGCTTGGGGATTTGGCGGCTCTGCGGCCAAGGAAATCCAAAATTCGTATAAAAGGAGAGAGGAACTTTTCACTGAGCAGAGAAGAAGGGTAATGAATATTTGATTTAATCGAAATATTCAATTGTTTTAACGAGCAGAATATTGAAGTTAGCATCCATTTGGTTCCTTGAAATCTTTGCAGGTTGATTTAAAAACATTTGCTAGTTGGGAAGATTCACCGGAGAAGATGATGTTAGACATGATGTCGGACCCAAATGCAGTTCGACGAGAAGACCGTTAAAACAAGGATGAGTTGTTTTTGTCCATTATCATTGCTTGATGATCTCTACATTTGTCAGTAGCTTGATGGTGGCTGTACAGAAATCAATAAACTGCAAAACTATATGTAGTGTAATGTTTATGTGCCTATTTTCTCGACGAAGCTGTGACATGCTTAGCCGTGAGATGGCATTATGGTCTCTGGCTTGTATCCATTACTATGCTTACACCATAATATTGAGAGGGATTGGAAGACTTTGAGAACAGTGTTTGCCGTGACTATCAATGTTTTCAGGTGTTTCTTAAATCCTCGTGTAACTTCGTGAACTTGAAAAGAGATTTTAATCTTGCATTTCTATTCATTCAAAATCATGGAAACTCATCCATCTTGGTGTTCGATGTACCAGAATCGGGCACCTACTGTGAACATTGTTCAATTTTCGTCGACTTTGCGCTTTGATTTGGGTATCAAGAAACTTGTCACAAAGCATGTATTAGCTAGCAACAAGTTATTATATGAATAAATAGCTGATGAAAAACAACACAGCATCCATGTTTAGAACTTGGTGCGGGAGGAGAAAACAATAAACATCCGTAGGAAAAAAACCTAGAACAAACATCTCAGAGCCAGCAGCACTACTACTTCACGGAAATTGATAACTTGGTGCGAGGACAGAATGCACTCCCTCTTCTTTCAGGTACATCCGCAAGTTGATCAATTGAGACAGTGTTACTGCTTGTCTTCCGCTTTTCTTGGCTGCAACAGGAAGCACACAGTGTTAGAAGATTACATGAAATTCAAATGCAGAAACACATGGGAATGAAAGAACCTAAAAGATCAACTTACAAGCTCAGGAAAACAGATTTGTCATCCAACTTGGGTGTGTAAAAGTACACATGATACAGAGAGCAACTAATTAAAAACTTATCAATAATAGCCCAAAAGTACAAGCTTACCATACAATCACATTCTGGATTTATTTGAACTCTAAGACAAACATTTCGAACTTTCTTACCACCATTTCCAGAAAGGCATAAGAAACGAGTATATATTGCAGATTTCAATGATTTCAAGAGAAATCTGCAACATGTGCTCGCTTTGTAAGTAAGAATTAGTGACTTGGTGAGATTTTGCAGAATGGGAATACCAAATCAACATCAAGTTGTAGAACATCTGTTGAGTTCACTTGTTGCCAAAAAAAACCCTTTGTATTTGTATTTGAAGCAGTTATTCGAATTTCTTATGATATGCAACTCAACCAAGTTCTTGCGAATGGAAAAAGGGGCGGTTTGAAGGTGGGGATGTTCTTATTTTACTCGAAGGGTTTGAATTAGCCCCTGTATTTCTCCCAATATCAAAGAAAAGATGGACCATCTATCTTTTCAGAGCTATTGTCCCACTAAAACACCCTAGCAAAAGGTTATAACCTGTCCTCTTTTGCCTTTGTGCTTGATTGGTTCAAGGGTGAATTATGCGGATTCATTCAACAAACATTCTCTTGAAACTATGACAGAAGCAGAGCCACAGCTGGAAGACTATATATTAGCACTTCAAACAATAACAAGAAAATGGTTGCCGTTAACACAAATGGAGTTTTTAGACAAACATCTAATACAGAAGATCATCAGGGAAAAGGAGAAAAGAAGCAATTCCCACAGATTTGGACCACTTAGATTAACATACTACGTGAGGCCTAGGTGAAAAACTTAGATTAACTGTACAACTCAAGGTGCGTAAAGACGAGAGATTTTCCAACGGGTCAGAAAAGTCAGTAAAACGAGAATAATAATCATCTATAAGTTACTAGTAGAGTGTAGTTCATATCAATACACATGTTGTAACACTGTATGTTCTAGCGCAAAGGTAATTAGGGCAAACATTCGAGTCAAATGAATATCAAAACGGTAGCGCGCTGCATAAGACAAGTGCCAATAAACATATCATCAATTTAAGTCCTTCTCAAATGCTAGTGCGGTTCACAAAATAATGCCAAAATCCACAACTCTTGAAAGCAGAAGCGAAGCATTGGGTATTCTTCCAGGAAATTCAGTAGACAAGTGAGTACATGAAATCGTAAATATAAATGTTTGTAGTTGCACAAACTTCATTCTAAAAAAAGAAAATCCATCAAACTGTTGGTGCACATAAGTTGTTCGACAAAATGCCACATACAGTACCAAAATGAAACTCAAGCAGAAGAGGAAAAAGAAATTTTCCCAGCAAGGGAGAACAAAAGCACGAACCTTGATACTGGGAGGAGGGTGATTAAGCTCCTCATCGGGAATGATAACCGGCCAAGTTTCTCCAGCTTCTCGAAACATTTGCTCGGTCTCAAGGAGTTGGCCCTTTTCAAGAATCATAGTCCTGATTGTTTGAGCAGGAGTAGAGGTAGCGTCGAAGACCTCTTCGACTCCATTGACGAAGGTGACGGTGATCTGGGGCGGGTGGTCGTCGGTTCGGCGCTTGACGATCAACTGGCAAGCCGGGTTCGATTCCTTGGCCTTCCGAGCATTACACTGCGCCAAGAATTCCATGCAAGATGCCAAGCGTGGATCTAAGGCATTGAATTCGATTCTCACTTTGGAGAGGAACTTCAACATTGCGGCTTATTCCTTTCGCCTCAACCTTCCAACAAGAGTGATTGGGGCGTGCAAGAAGAAGCCTATGGAGGGGAGTAAGTTTGGGGGGGTTTATGACCGAAACGGAGAGTTTCTTGAGAAAAATTAATTGAAAATGTAATTCTTTTTCTTCCTCTCTTCACACCTTTAATTAAGTTTTGTGCTTAATTTTCTTTTTTCTGTTTATTAATCTCTATATTTTTAAATAATTTTCCACTTTTAAATTAATAATTAATCATTTTATTTATTGAGCTATATATATATATATATATATAATTAAAAGTTAAAAAGAATTTTAAAAGATACACAACAAACCAGTGGAGGAAAATAGAAAAATTAATAGAAGGTTGAGAAGGAAATTGGATTTTGTTTAAAAGGTATTAAAAATATGATTTGAAGGTGCGATAAGGATAATAACAGCTTCTATATAAGAATATAACAATAGTGATGAACATCGATGGATCATCAGTCACAATGTACACAAACTTCTACAACAAACATTACAAATTGCAGTAACTTAAGGAACATGAATCATATATTCTGTAAAATGTTGGTGTTTGTAGACCCTTTTTCAGCTTACCTAAGTCCACGCATACCCCAAATGCTCACCAACTCTATATGAGAATAATACCATGGTGACATTACTTGGGGCAGCGCAGCTTCGGAGTTAAGGAACAAAACAATGTTGGTCGCTAACAAGAACCAAATTCCACCATTCAGATTTAATGCAGTCATCATGTTGTCGGTTGCTGAGGTTGTGACTACTTCAAAAAATGTTGACCACAAAGCAGCCCCGATGATCTATCTTTGCCACTTCCTCTCTGAAAATTAGGATACAAACAATAGCCAGTAAGTCTCTATCCTTCTGTTTTTGCTTCTAATCTTTAACTTAGTGCAACCAATATACATATTACAAGCAAAATAAATGTATAAATGTGTTTGTATGGGGTTTTAAAAACTTACTGATAAACCAACAATAACAAAAATCTTAAGAAGAAGGTTTACCATTTCCCTTTCCGCTCTTTTGTGCTTGAGACGTTGTTCTTTGGATTCGTGGTGACCCCTGCCTTCCATTGGCAACTGGAAAGGAATGCCTCTTCTTGATGTAGATTTCTTCATCTTGAACATCTGGACTGGATCTTGGAGAATTATTTAACTGCACCTTGGCTCTAGCAGATTCCGTAGCTCGCATGAAATGAGGGAGAGATTGATTGGAACTGCTTTCTCTTGACTCTTCTTCAACATGATCAGGTCTTGCTGAACTAAAGGAATTGCGCCTCTTTTCAATCTTATCTTTAGGAAAAGGTTCCGAGTTATTGGGCGAGTCAACGTTGCGATGAAGTTTCGAGGGTGATTTCTTACCAGCAGTGAGGGACTTGCGCTTCGGATTGCTTCTGCTCATATCTGTTTTTCTCTTATTAGATTTTGTAGAGACCTGACTAGAAGGTGTTCCTTGGGATTCCAGAATAGTAATATGGCTTCTTGGAGAGGCTGATGGGGATAGCCTACAATTGCCTGTTTCAATATCCTGTTCTCCCTGCAGAACTGATGCATTTACGTCTGGCTTAACTTCATTTTTAGCAGAGTCCACAGTTATTTTATCGATGGATTCGACAACACCAGGCTTTTCTGGAGACCCCAAAACAGGTTGAAATAAGTTTGACACTTGACTGGAGGGAGCACTACCCACGTCAATTTCTGTGCTCTTATTGCTGCTCTGATCATGGACACATATCTCTGTTACATTGGTTTCACGCTCATATTCAAAGGCGCAAGCTTCAGATAAATCAGGTGAATCAAGAGTAGAGGTAATAGAAAGCTCGGTTCCACATTCGGAGCCACCAGCTCGAATAGTCCTGGGTCCATTTGTGATGAAGTCCTCTGTAGTGGACACCTCATCTGTCTTTAGAGCAGTAGCTGATGCAGATGAGATAGCAACAATGCAAGACTCGGCCTCTTCTTGATATGATGAACTGATTGATCTACCTGAAGTTTCCATAGAACTCAACTCCTGAAATTTGGATTGGGCAGCAATGAATGCTGGATTACTTGCCCTTCTTGAACCAAAGATAGTCTTTTTCTCCTTCAGCTCTAGTTGATCTGAGGAAAACGTCCCAGTCGATGTTTTGTTTTGCTGGAATTCGGTTCCAAGATCCTCTTTATGAGGGTTATACTGTAACTGAGAATCTGCCACCAATCGCATCCTCTGATCTGGGAGAGAATTTGCCTCCATCAAGGTTTCTTTCACATTTGAGACACCTGCGTCCTCAAACCATGTCTTCTCCAACATGGAAGAGGTAACCTGACATGGCTGAAACTCTGTATTGTCCATATCATAAGTAATCAAGTTATCTTCACTTTCAGAATGCACTACTGATTCCTCATTGCTGGATCTTGAATCAGCTGACTTGCAAAGAACATTAGAGTCAATCTCAGCACTGGCTTCAGACGCATGAACGTTTTCTTCCTTCTCTTTTCCTTGTTCTCCTGTCATGAACTCTGCTTCCTTTAACTCCAGAACATCGACTGATGAGATAGATGTCCATCTCTCCAACCATTTCCAAGTAGTCTCAGATTTAGAACAATAGTAACTAACGTTGATAGGTCTCGTGGTCGGTGTAGACTCAAGCAGCTTCAAATAAAGTACAAATCAGTTTTATCGAATGCAAGTATGTAGCGTTTACATGGTGCTTACTCAACAAATCGCAGTTACATAAAAGAATACCTGCCGAGCGAAGCTATTGCTAAGTAGTTTCTCAATTGAAACGTAAGTCCCACTTGATTTCCTCAACTTTTCCTTCTCCTGAAACACGAGATACAAAATAAAGATGAGGTAGCATGAGTATTCTTTCGTTATCAATGCTTTCATCCTAACTAGATTTATAAGATAATGTGAAGCCAAGAACGCATATTTGAAAGTCAACAATCAAATCTGAGTAAATTGGGTTACCAAGGTCTTATAACTATGGCTATCCTTTGTATGCGATCGTTCAACTGACAAACGGGCACAACGGGCACGCACAAGAGCTTGCATTTTGATAATAGCCTGAATACAACGAAGAGTTTCAATGGCATGTTTCCTAACCAAGTGCCCACGGATAGCAGCTTGCAACTTAACCACATTCTTCAGCATCAGAAGCTTTCTTCGGGCCTGCAAGAGAAGTTAATAAGTATAGGGACAAGGACAGAGAAGGGTTATAATATCTGATCTAAAACATAAGAAAAATATAACACACCAACAGCCCTCTAATAACACTCTGGATGATAATAGCGCTGCGTTCCTCCAGCTCAATTTCAACTTTACTCTCCTTTTGAATGACATCAACAGCTTCAGATTCCTTAAGATTTTCAGTACTCGGTAATTGAGGTTTCTCGGTTGCGCACTGCAAACCAGCATCTTTTTCTAATGTACAACCATTGGTTGGTTGCTGGAAGTTATTGAAGCTCTCTCTATTTCCAGGAGAAGAGATCTCAGCTATCACAGTGTTACTTAACACTCGTTGCCGGCTTGATCTCTTTCGAAAACTCCACCCTTGCTTGTCATTCAAACGCTTACTCTGCATAAATACAAACCAAGTCCATATCACCTAAAATACAAATGCTACATGATAAAATGACCAACCATACATGATCCAAGGTCATATCGCAAGAAATGAACAAAAGAGATGAGCAAGCACAATACTCAATCCCTAAACCCCTAATTGCATTGCAAATCTCCACTGAAATTCCTTTTTCAATTCCAATCATGAGAGAAACAAACTCGCAGTAGAACACAAATTCTCAGTAAACTCGATGAGCAAGCACATTGTCCATTTCTACCAAGTATACCAAACTTAGAGCATTAAGTCGAACTACAGAGATACAAAAGTTCAGAAAGCAATGAGATAGATACCTCAGAAATATGATTATCATCTTTCTCCCTAGAATCGCCACCGCAGGCGATAATCTTAAAGCACGAAGTAGACTTCCCCATAGATTCTCACACTACCAAGCTTTCCCCGATTCTCTCACGGATCTAGGACACCAAAAAACAGAACCTCCAACGCCGCGCTAAACTAGCATCGGGAGCAGGAAGAAAGAGGAATCCGGAACTCAAAAGCCACTCCAATTCGACAAAATTCAGCCTTTTGAAGTCCGCGGAAGTCGTATTGCAGAAGAACGAGAGTGAGGAAGCCGAGGAAGAAAGGCCACTGCTCCCTTTCAAATATTGCAGATAAAATTATTTTAAAAAAACTCAACTCTCCAATATCTCGACAATTTCTCGCGAGATATTTAGTTTACCAAGTCAATATCGTTTTAATTAATTTAATTGAGATATCACGTGGTTAAAATACATGCCACCGCCAATGCTTCCCCCAATATATATATATATATATATACACTCCAATTGTTTCAATTATATGATAAAATTATTGGGTCTATAATATGAGCAATAATAAATCAAATAATGAATTGAATTAAATAATACGGGGAAAGCTATAGAAATGAAAAGATATTAGATGGGACGGGAAATCTCTATATTAATGTCATTAATTTTGTATCATATTCAGATGGACAAAAATAAAAATTAATAGTTAAATAAGAAGGGAAATAGTAAAAAAAAAAACAATAATGGAAATTAATATTGAGATTGAGACCAATCATTGAGTGCCACATGTGCGAGATGAGAAGATTGGAAACGCAGGAGACAGGAAATGTGTGACAGGATAATACGGACAACAAACACTGGCAGACATAGACGAGTAATTCATATTGGAGGCTACGGCTGTAGCTCTACTCGGAGACCAATTATTGTTTTTTTCTTCCATTTTTTAAAAATTCATTTAAAACTCTAATATATACATTTAATTATAAAAACTAAATTATTAAAGAGATGAAATTATAATTAAAAGATGGAAAGTTTTGAAATAAATGAGTTGTCCCTATATATGTATATTTTCCATCAAATTAGAATTATGTGGGTGTGGTAGGGAACCTCTTCCAACTACTCACCAGCCAGTAGCCGGTAATAACGCCAATTAATCACCCACGACTCGACAAACCGCATCCACACACATACATGTGTGTGACATTAATGGTCATAATATCCGAATCTAGCCATAATGTCCCAAAGTTATTTGCCACATCAATTTTTATTTTTTTTCACAAATATCCAAAATCACCGCTTATAATAGTAAATATTGCCCTAGTTGAGCTTGAGCTTCCCCTTTCGAGTTTTTCTCTCAAAATTTTTAAAACGCGTATGCAGGGAGAAGTTTCTACACTCTTATAAATAATGTTTCTTTTTCCTTCCCAACTGACGTGGGATCTCACAATCCACTCCTTTCGGACCCCAACTTCCTCGCTGACACTCGTTATCTCCCTTAACCAATGTGGGACCCTCTAATCTACCCCCTTCGACTTTCAGCTGTCCTTACTGGCACTCTTTTCATCCCCAACTGATGTGGGATCTCACAATACACCCCTCTTTGGGCCCTAACGTCCTGATTGACACTCGTTTCCTACTCCAATCGATGGGGGACCCTCCAATTCACCTCCTCCCCCTTCGTATCCCAACGTCCTTGCTGACACACTACCACTTCGAGGCTCAACCTCGTTGGCACAACATTTGGTGTTTGACTCTAATACCATTAGTAATAGCCCAAGCCCACCGTTAATATATATTATCCTTTTTTGGTTTTCCTTTCCGAGCTTCCTCTCAAAGTTTTTAAAACGTATTTGCTAGAGAGATGTTTCCACACTTTTATAAGGAATGTTTCGTTCTTCTCAACCAATCGATATGGGATCTCACATATAAATTTGGTAAGTTTGGATGTTTAGTAACTTATTTAATGAAGCAAAATGGGGGATTTAATAAAGGATTTGGAGTTGAAATGAAGCAAAATGGTGGTGACAAGACAGACAATAATTGTTTTGGCGAAGAATGTTTGAAGAACCAACAAGAGCATATGACAGAGCAAAGGACATCACCACCATGGGATGTCTGGTGGAGCCACACTCACATGGGTTGATTGCCAAGAATCATGTGAATCCTTCAAACTCTAGTGTACTAAAACTGGCCTTGATTTTGAAATTACTACGCCCACAAGGAACCATCGTATGTCCCTGTTTAAGCCACTTCGTTCCCACCAAGGCCCAGGGGCTTCCTCTCGAGAGATACTGCGGTCGGAGGATCTGACCCATCTAACAAAAACACAAAAACAAGTGTTAAAACTTTGAATTTGAATCCTGTGGAAGCTTATTTTAAACACTCCAAACCCAGTTGCCATACTGATTTGTTGTGTAGCGTGTTAAGTTTTTGGTTCCTTTTTGAGAGAATGTGACAGTGTTGCCAGTATGGCAAACATAAAACGCTACTCTGAACGTTGGCTTTATGATCTGGAAAGATGATAGAAAAGACAAGAGAGAATAATATCATGCACAAACTCTGTAATACAAGAGGGGGTTGAGACGTTAGGATCCTTCAAGATGGGTCCGCCTCCACATCTCATGCCTGTTTTCCAGTAAAGCTCAGTGTTAGTAGGAGTGAATGAAGAAATCGAGAACGAACCACCCGACACGCTCTCTTCCCGTTCCTTGCATTAGAAGCAAACTTGATTGTTCAGATTGGTCCCAGCACAAACTTCCTCCAGTTTTACAACCAAGATAGTAGGTGCTGAGAGTGCTGCTCTGTTCTGTGAGGTAACTTAATGGCAATGACATGAAAGAGAAGCTTTGCATTTAACTCTTAAGAATTTTGTAATGTTTTTACACTCAGATATACCTTCATAGCTCAAAAAAAAAAAAAAAAAAAAAAAAAAAAAAAAAAAAAAAAAAAAAAAAAAAAAA